AGGATGTCAAAGACAAAGTAGGAGAGGTGGGCAGGGCTGCCTCATGAGGTTTTGTGGAGCAGCCCTTGCGGGGGATAGGATGCAGGGGATATAAGGGTCAACACGATCTGCGCTTTGGCTACTGTGTGGAGTGACTTGTAACCCAACAATCTGGGACAGTGGAATAATCTTGGACAAAGTATTGCCCCTGTCATAAATTTGTAACTCAGAGTAGCTTAATTTATATTTCAAAGTTATTATTAAGGAAGATGTAGCAGCACTCTTTCTTGTATTCTTTCTCATTTGTGTGTGAGTCTTTGCCTTTTGAAAATAATGCTGTGAGCCCTCTACAGACAAATCACAGTATTGCCTCTTAGGATGACATGGGAGACTAGGGGAAACAATCAATGCTGAAGTACGGAATGTCAGTTATCCTTAATTTAAAATAGAGGGAACAGACATAAGACCTGAAACCATAAAATATATAGAAGGAAATATAGGCGAAACACAACATGACATGCACCTCAAAGACATCTTTACAGACACATCACCCAAAGCAGTGATAGTGAAGGCAAAGATAAACAGCTGGGACTACATCAAATTAAAGAGTTTCTGCACAGCAAAAGAGACAATAACCAAAACAAAGAGAAACCCCACCGACTGGGAGAACATTTTTGCATACAACACTAATGATAAAGGACTGATCACAAAAATCTACAAAGAGCTGATGAGACTCAACAAAAACAAAGAAAATAATCCAGTCAAAAAATGGGCAGAAGAGCTAAAAAGGAACTTCTCCAAAGAGGAAATGCAAACGGCCAATAGGCATATGAAAAAATGTTCAACATCACTTGTAATCAGGGAAATGCAAATCAAAACTACAATGAGATACCATCTTACACCAGTGAGAATGATAACATATTAAAAAAACTAGCAATAACAAAATTATAACATATGAGAAACATATGATATGAGATATGAGAAAGAGAGTGAATTTCTGGAACACAGTAACAAAGACATAGAAGATCTGTCCTTTCAATCAGATACAGAATTTAAACTTGTCATGATAAACAAATTCAAAGAACACAGAGAAAACACAGAAAAGCAGGTCAATGATGAGCAAGAAAATTCAAAATCATTCTCAATGGTGACAAGCTGAAAGCTTTTCCAATAAGGTCTGTACAAGACAAGGATGTCCACTTTCATTCAAGATAGTATTGGAAGTCTTAGCCAGAACAAATAAGCAAGAGAAAGAAATACAAGAAATCCAAAACTTGGGAAAAAAGAAGAAAGTTATTTATTTGCAGATGGCATGATAATATACATAGGGAACACTAAAGAATCCACTAAAAAACAAATTGAAATAATAAATCAAATTGTCAGGTTATAAAATCATTACACAAATATCAGTTGCCTTCCTATATGCAAACAATGCGCTAGGAGGCAAAGAAATTAAGAAAATGATCCCACTTCCAATCTCACCAAAAAAATAAATAAGTACTTAGTAGTAAACCTAATGGAGGTGAAGAACTTATACAAAGAAAACTCTAAAGCATTAACAGAAATAGAAGAAACACAAAGAAATGGTAAGAAATTCCTTGTTCATAGATTAGAAGACTCACCATTGTCAAAATGGCCACCCTACACAAAGCAATATACAGATTCAAAACAATCTCAATAAAAATCTCAATGACATTCTTCAAAGAAATGGAACAAACATTACTGAAATTCATATAGAACCACAAACACACCTATCATACTTTCAGACTTCAAACTATAATATAAAGCCTTAGTAATTAAAGCAGCATGGTTATGGAACAAAAACAGACACACAGACCAGTGGAAAAGAATTGAGATCTCAGAAATGAACTTATATGGACACACCGGTATGGACAGTTTATGTATGACAAAGAAGCCAAAAATATATACTGGAACAAGGAAAGACTCTTCAATAAATGGTACTGGAAAAACTAGACAGCCACATGCAAAAGATGAGACTAGACCACTATCTCACAACATACACAAAATCAACTCAAAATAAATAAAAGTGTTGGAAGTGAGACCTGAAATCATAAAATACATAGGAAAAAACATAGGCAAAACACTTTCTGACAGAAGCTTCATTGCTGTCTTTGAAGATTCATTTCTAGCAGCAAGGAAAACAAAATATAATATAAACAACCAGACTACATCAAACTAAAAACTTCTGCACAGGAGACAAAACTGTAGCTAAAATGAAGAGGCACACTACTGAATGGAGAAAATTTTTGCACACCATACATTTGACAAGGGACTGTTTTCAAAGATCTACAAAGAGCTCATAGATACTAACAAAAAGTAAATAATCCAATCAAAAGATGGGCAGAAGAGCTAAATAGGCACTTTTTTCAAAGAAGACGTATAGTAGGCACATGAAAAAAATGTTCATCATCACTTATAAGGAAAATGCAAATCAAAATCACAGTGAGCTCCCACCCACACCTGTGAGAATGGCCCATACAAAAAAGAGCAGCAACAAGTGCTGGCGAGGGTGTGTAGAAAAAGGAACCCTCCTACTTTGTTGGTGATAATGTAGACTGCTACAGTCTCTATGGAAATCAGTGAGAAGTTTCTCAAAAGATTAAACATGGACCTGCCATATAATCCAGCAGTTCTACTCCTAGGTATTTTCCTGAAGAATATGAAAATACTAATTCAAAAGGAAACTTGCTCTCCTATGTTTATTGCAGCACTATTTATAATAGCCAAGCTATGGAAAAAACCTAAGTGTCCCAAAACAGATGAATGGGTCAAGAAGATGTACTGAATAGTATATATACACAATGGAATATTATTCAGCAATCAAAAAAGATACTCATGCCATTTGTGGAAACATGGTTGGAGCTAGAAAGGATTATGATAAGCAAAACAAACCAGGAGAAGGATAAATGTCAAATGATGTCACTTACATGTGGAACATAGAGAAACCAAACAAAGTATCAGACAAAGACAGACTCTAAAAGGAACACTTGAAGGCTGACCTTAGAACTCAAATATCCAAAAGGGGACTTGGAGGGGTGCAAACAGCATAGGGAGAGAGCACAGTGAACTGTGGTGAAGGATTATGGGTTCTTTGGCAGTGGGTATGCTGTGATGACTACACATGATGGAGGAGATCCTATACTTTAGAAACACTAGCACTGATGTAATTGATGAGTGGACTGGTATATTCGGAGGCTCACTTTCTTGCAGATTTAAGCCAATTCCTTCATTATTACCTATATCGGTGACAGTTTTGGCCTCATTCTCCCCACCCACCCCCCCCCCACCCCACCCCCAAAACCTACTATAAACAATAGACCACTATAGTAAAGTGTCTGGCTATTAAAAAATAAATAAAAACATTTATCAGAAAGCAATTCAGTTTTTCTAAATATATTCACAAGGAACTTCCAAGATTGGAATTATAGACTAAAACCACATTTTTAAAAAATTTCCATTTTTTTGTTTTCTTTTTATAGTTTACTGAACAAGATTTCTGTTAAATATTCTGGTTTTTTTTTTTCTTTTTTTTTAAGATTTATTTATTTATTTACTTACTTACACAAGCACTGGGTACAGGCAGAAGCATGGAAGGGTGAGAGAATTCTCTTCTCTCTCAGAACGACTGAAGTACACTGCTGAGGGGAGCAGCGGGTGGCAGGAGAGGTCTGCGCGCCATGTGGGACCCTCCTCGGGTGGCCGGGGAGCAGCCGGGGATCGAACCAGCGCCGCAGAGGCTGCAGGCAGCTTCGCAACCCAGCGCTCAACCTCTGCGCCACAGGGGAGGCCCCTATTCTGGTTATTTTAAATTTGGGTGAACAGAAGTGACCCAGGAGCCCTTTCCAGCCTGGGTATTTATTGCACTATAAGTTAACAATGCAGTTTCTTATCGATCAGGTTTCCCAGGGTTCATGGGTTGTGCTACAATAACTCCTAGTAACAGTACAATGAACCCTAGTAACCCAAAGTTTTTATAGCAGATGACTTCATTAGGGCTTGTCTAGACAACAGATCTCCAAAATCATAGCATGTGAGAGCTAGAAGAGACCTAACAAAGATGCTGTAATTTAGTTCCTAAATGTTCTTTTTGCCATTGTAGCAATAATTTGGGGATTTGAGGGATGGTGACACTATGACTTTAGCTTGGAAAGTGGAAAACTGCTACGCATATGGGATGAGCCTAACTTTTCTTTTGGGTGCGAGCTATAAACAAACAAAAGTTATTCAGGATAAAGCAGCAAATTTGAGAAGAATTTCTTTCCTGTTCATGTTTGTCAAAATAGGAGAGATTCCGTGGATGTTATACACCTAGAGAAAGTAATTGTAGTAGATAAAATCGTAACTTTTTAGATAGGCTCTCCTTGCCAAAGTAACCAAGTTTCAAAAAAATACTACAACCTCTGCCAATGAAATCCACATGCTATCAACAGTTCATTATCATTGGGACTTGGATTGCATTCACCTGGGTCCCTAACCTTCAGCCATTTTACTCAGGTCAACAAAATAATTGATCATATTGAAAAAAAAAGTTTGACAACAAACTTTTCCACTGGTTGTTTTGCTGTCCTGGCTTTTGATGTGGAACTGTTCAGTGTAGAGCCTAAACTCAACCCCCAGCTTCACTGGCATGTAAATAGCAAATACCCAATCTACCTGCAAGTCCAGATTTATCTGATTATTTTGATTGAGTACATTTCTTCTGAGCACCGAGGATAAAAATAGCCCATCTCTGAAAAAGTGTCTTCAGAGACCTTTGTATGATTTGCCTGTTTAAACAATTACATGGGTAAGGTAGTCACAAAGTTAGTGCCCTGAGGATAAATATTAGCTGAACTTACTATCTTTGTGAGAAGGGAACTGATGTCTGTAAGACTTTCTTGAGAGAAAGAACACTAATGACTTGACATACGGAAATGAACGCAAAGTGCTTTGTATATGGTGAAGTTTTCCTGTGAAGTATTCTTTGCTCCAATCCTTGTGACAATGTGTGAATATCTCTTGCCTCCTTTGTTATATTTCCATAGGAAGCTGCCCTCTGCAGACAGCTGCCCATGGAAGCCGATACTCTGACAACAGTGCAGGCTGCTGCCAACCCTCCTGCCATGACCTCAGACATGAGATCCATCTCTAATAATAGCTCCGATCCTTTCCTCAATGGGTAAGTTAACATTTTGGGGACCTACTTTTGCTTTCTTTGTTAGGTGGTCTACAGTATAATGGGTCTTTGTTTATTTTATTTTATTTTTTTTTTTATGGATTGAATATCTCCATATTCTAAGAACTGAGTTTTTTTGTTTTTTTTTTTTAATTTTTTTTTAATAGAGGCATGTTTTTTAATTTATTTATTTGTTTGTTTTGTCTGTTTGTTTGTCTTTGTTTATGATGGAAAAAGGGGATGAAACTAGGAGAGAGATAGGTGGAAAAGTAAAAGCAGAGGACGCCATCTATTTTAAAATGAATGAATGAATGAATGAATGAATGAATGAATGAATTTATTTATATATATTTTACATCATTGTTCATTTTTGTACAGTGTTTGCTTTCTCCTCTCAGGTGTAGTCCCTGCAAAATTCCCACCACCAGTTCACCTGTGCACCATCACCATAGTCCCTGTGCTCTTCCCTCCCCTGTTTTGATCCTGACTCCTCCCCCGCCACCCCCTGCAGAATGTCTCTGATTGATAGTTGCCTGTTAATTTTGCTTTCTTATTTATTATTATATATTTTCATTACATATTTTTTCCTGATCCCTATTTGCTTCCCCTATATTCGTCCTATAAGTGAAATCATCCGATATTTTTTCTTTTCCTTCTGGCTTATTTCACTGAGCATAATCCCTTCTGCCTTTTTTTTTTAATCCATAGTTGAGGTCCATTGCATGTGAAAGATGGAAACTAGACCCTTGGTGGTCAACTTAATGGAGTATGTGTAGATGTTGCTTTATAACACTATACACTTGAACCTGCATAATGTTATAAAATAATTTTGCTTAAATAAAAATTATTTTTAAGAAAATTGATGATGTGAATAATAATTTAAAAATGGGAATGAACTTATAATTTCGATAGGATGGCATTGTATAGCAATTATTTAGAAGAATCTTAGGATTTCCTATAGTTAACAGGGAGGTAAAAGCATGTCATATGGCCATTAGGGAAAAAAGAAATGGTTTTTATGATGAAATGAAATAAGGTTAAATAAGCCTAACTTAATCATCTTATACAATTTCCTGGTTTTGATAACAGTAGTTGTAGTTGTGTAAGGTGCCACTGGAGAGACTGGGGGATTGGGCACGGGAGCTCTCTGTTCCTTCTGCATCTTCTGTTGTGCATCTAAAATTGTTTCACAACAAAAAATTAATCAAAACAAAGAGATGAGGTTTTAAAATGTGAAACATAGGAGTAGAAATAAAAGATAATTTAGCAAAAATTATCTTCATGAGTATTATTTGTCAACCCTAAATGTGTTTTTTAATTCTAAATAATATGCAGTACGCTATTTCCGTATTTGTTCTCCCTCCCCTATAGATGCTTCTGGCAAATTAGCAAATATAATTATGGCAGTTATTAAAAATAGAGCCAGACAAAAACAAACAACAACTGCAATGAAGGAAAGGAGTTTTTAAATTGCTAATGTAAAAGGATTTCAAATGTATAGAAAAATATTAAGATGATGTAAGATTTACCTGTGCATTTAACATCCAGATTTGCCATATTTTATCAATTTTATTTTTATAATAAATAAAACATTGTGATTAATATTTAAATCCATGCCCCACCACTGAAGTACTTTCTTTTTATTCTTCACTTTCTTGTGGCAACATTCTTCAGAAATTGATGTGTGTCCATCACACATATTTTCATATATCTTATTGCCTATTCTTATTGCATATTTCTTATTGCCTATTTTTTTAATTTTACATAAGTGATATAATATGTAGAACATTATTCAAATTGTTATTTTGAGGCAAAAAGGAAGTCAATGTCAATTTACTATGTATGCCAGGTTTATTTGCATATAACTTATTAATTTCATTGATATTGGGAGTTTCAAAATTAAAAGGAGGTGCATTGTCCCTCCCTTACCAGGAAAGTTGGACAGAATGATAGAACTACAATAATTTAGAGTTTTCAGGACTGTATTAATTTTGAAATATCTTTAGTGGCTCATGCTGACGTTTGTCCATCTTTTGTTCTCCAGAGGGCCGTATCATTCGAGGGAACAGAGCACTGACAGTGGCCTGGGCTTGGGGTGTTACAGTGTCCCTACCACCCCAGAGGACTTTCTCAACAATATGGATGAAATGGACACAGGTAGGACAAAGTCTGCAATGATTTGCAGTGTGGTTGCATTTGAAATCATATCTTTGGGCAGCTCACTTTTCACATCCAACCAGAAATGCTTGCTTACTTTTTTTTTTTTAAAGATTTATTTATTTATGCTTACAAGGACTGGGGTGTAGCCCACAGGTGCCGGGGGGGGGGGGGGGAGGTGAGAGGATTCACCAGAGACAGAGTGTGGAACAGAACAGGCAGATTGACTGAAATACACTGCTGAGGGAAACAACAGGCCAGACAGGAGAGATCTGCTGCACCATGTGGGTAGCTCTCTGGCCGGGGATAGAACTCCTGCTTCAGACGTTGTAGATAGCTTCATAGAGCTGTGTTTAACCTCTTGCACCACCAGGGAAGTCCCCAGAAATGCTTACTTTCAACAAAATAAAATTACAACTGAAAACACCCAATCACTGGCATTATTAATAAATTCTGGTCCCTTCCTGGTAGCTTATACAAATAAAACTTTATATATGGACAGAGGATTTTAAATTCTGCTTTCCTCCTCCTTCTCTTCCTTCTCCTTTTTAAAATTCATCCTTATTTCATATAGTCTCTTCTCACAATTACATTACTATACCATGGTGTGTGCAGTGCTAGGGAGTATCTAGAAAATTAAGCAACTCCAAAAAAAAAAAAAAGAAAAGAAAACAAAATTAAGCAACTCCGAGGATTTTAAATTATCAGCTCCAAGTCTCAACATAGTAACAACAAGCTCCCTCAGCAATAAAGGAGAGTCAGTGACATTATCCCCAGCCTGACCAGCCTGCAGGCTGGCCCTCAGCAGGCTTCTTTCTGTGTTACCACCTCTCCTTTTCTTTTCTTGTCAAGAGGACTTTTAATTGCAAAACTTGAATTTTATTTTATTACTCAAATCTAGACTTTATTATGAAAATCCTAAAGTCCCAGAAGATATACTATAAATGTCAATAGAAGTATCTACTATTAGCATTATTCATGCAAGTTCTCCTGCACTATCACTGAAGAGAGGAAATTAGTTGTTCTGTGATGAAAATATTCGCTTTCCCCAGTGTTGTTGTCTGCAGCCCATGTGTGTTGCACTCTGCTCCTAGATGGCTGTTCTCTGTACTCTGAAGGCAAATTATTCCTGAAACCTAAGTCCAATTCAATCAGGAAGCTTAGGAGTACAGCATGTCAGAGTGTTTGCCTGGAATCTTCCTTCAAACCTCATCTGCATGTTTAGAAATTGCACAGACTGACCAAGAGTCTTGAATCTAAACATGACATTTAAAGAGAAAAAAAAAAAAAAAAGAGCTTTTCAGCTGGATCTGCCATCTTCGTAAAGTCACCAAATGACCTACACAATGGGAAAAAGGAGACGCCCCCCACTCTATCTTCTCTAGACCTTTTAGAAAACATGGAGTTGTTCCTTTGGCCACATACATGCAGATCTACAAGGAAGGTGGTGGTGTAGATATCAGTGGGATGGGTACTGTTCAAAACAGAGTGCCACACAAATGTTACCATGGCAACAGTGGAAAAGTCTATAACACTACCTGACATGCAATTGATTGTGTAAACAAACAAGGGCAAGATTCTTGCCAAAAGAATTAATGCTCATATTGAGCATATTAAGCACTCTAAGAGCTGAGATAGCTGCCTGAAGCTATTAGGAAAAAAGGAAACCAAAGAGAATGGTGCCTGGGTTCCACTGACACGCCAGCCGGCTCCACCCAGGGAAGCAGACTGTGTGAGGACCGAGGACAGGAGCCTGAGCGGCGGGAACCCACACCCTGTGAATTCAGGACTTGAGAGATGTGTAAAAAGGAATAAAGGACCTCTGGATTATAAAAATTTTTCTCTTAATCAAATAGAAGTGTGGTTTCCCCTTTCCAAAAAATGTTCAAAGCAAAAAACAAACAAAAAAAGCCTTTATTAAAATGATGTCCAGGGCCTCCCCTGGTGGTGCAGGCAGTTGAGCGCCACGCTGTGAAACTGTCCGCAGCCTCTGCAGCACTGGTTCGATCCCAGCCGGCCAGCGAGGGTCCCATATGGTGCGGCAGACCTCTCCTGTCACGCCCGCGGCTCCCCTCAGCAGTGTATTTCATCAGTCTGCCTGTTCTGTTCCCCGCTCTGTCTCTGGTGAATCCTCTCACCCTCCCTTGCATCTGGCCTGTACCCCGGTTCTTGTATAAAATAAATAAATAAATCTTTAAAAATAAAATAAAATAAAATGATGTCCAGTAGGTAAACAGGGAATGTTTTGAAGCTGTAACATGGAATTAAGGATGCCCTAAAAATAACATAGTCTTTGCTGACAGACAACCTGAGTGAATACTTGCTTCTCCACTTTGTGGTATGTCTTTGGGTAGGTGATAAAACCATTTCCCATCTACAGAATGGGAGTACTCCCATCTTCTCATGGCGTTGTGAGGAATTATGTGCTCATAGAACTTGATACAGAGCTCTCGTCTCCTCCTAAGAGGCTGAAGTAGGTGCAAAGTGAACTTGATAAATGTTAGGGTGCCAACTTAGACTGGTTAAGTGAGTCTCAGCCCTTTGAGGTTTGGGTCATCTCTGTGAAGATTTTATAGGAAGCAGCATCAAACCCTCCCAAGGGAAGAAATGTAATTAAAGTAACAGATGAAGCAAGGTAAAATTCAAGTAGGTGGAATTCAAGTATGGCTAGAAAAGGTCTGGTAGATTGCTGACAACTTGCAAAATGGGAGTGAATTAACTGTCTCTCCCCCCTCCCCTTTGCAAAACATATATGGAAGCAACGGTTGGATTTGATATGAGGATAGTGTAAAGGAAATAGCAAGAGCAAAGGCTGGGAAGAAACCCATCATTCTGCAGTATTCTTCAGTATTCTGCAATAATCACACCATTTTAAGAATTGCTTGGCTTTTGTCTCCTACATTTTAAATACATCAAACTGCAAAGACCAAAAAGATTACTGAGATTGTGCAAAGTTGCTCTAAAGAGAGACATTTTAAGATTGCTAACCGTAACAAATTGCTAGCCTTAATTGCTAACAAATTGCTAGCCTTAATCAGTTTCTTTATGCTTTTTCCATGTGTGAGAAGAAAGGAAAAGAAGAATTTTTTTATAGAAAGATATATAGAGAGTTTCGTTAGGCTAAAAAATGTATTGTGTCATTAGAAAGTTAAAATGGAAACAGTAGAGATGAGTGATTATAACTGGAAATTTTAAGGCCTCATTTCTATGAGATACACTCTGGTCAGTAGAAAAAAAAGCAACTTGGGCCTCCCCTGGTGGCACAGCGGTTGAGCGCTGGGTTGCGAAGCTGCCCGCAGCCTCTGCAGCGCCGGTTCCATCCCCGGCTGCTCCCCGGCCACCGGAGGAGGGTCCCACATGGCGCGCAGACCTCTCCTGCCGCCCGCTGCTCCCCTCAGCAGTGTACTTCGGCCCTTCTGCCTGCTCTGCTCCCCGCTCTGGCTCTGGTGAATTCTCTCACCCTCCCGCGCTTCTGACTGTACCCAGTGCTTGTATAAATAAATAAATAAATAAATAAATAAATCTTTAAAAAAAAAAAAAAAAAAAAAGCAACTTTTGGACTTTCTCTTCTATTTTGATGTTGATTTTCAATACCTGTAAATTACATAGAGGTCACGTTGTTGAACTTGATTTGTTTTTTCAAATTACTGTCTTTTGCAATGAAAAATACTATAACGTATTGCCAAAGAGTCATCAATATCTTTATAAGTTACAGAATAGCTATTCAGCTTTGCTTTCTCCAAAATGTAAGTTTGATTGTTTCTCCTTCATCTCTTTAGAAGGACGTAATTTCTCTCCTTGAAAAATTCATTTTCTCTAGTTTTGTTCAGAATTGTGCAGTTTCTATGGAAGCTTTTCAAGAAGTCTACTTGTGACTAATATAACAAGTTTCTTAAAAATGATGTTGTGGTAAAAACTCACTTTAGCTATAAAAGTGCCCCAGTCTTTTATGTGTATTTCTGTATTTAAGTATTTCAGAAAATTATCTGGCCTGTTTGAATTAATCTGTTGTTCTAATATTGTGTAATTAATATTGTGTTCCTGGGTTTTTCTTTCTCTCAGCACAATTGGCAAAGAGTTATTTATTTGTGTATGTATATAAATTTGTATATATGAAAGACACCCATTGCCATGGATGTGTGACAGATATTATATGTAAAGAAAGTACTACAATCCCAATTTCCAGATGGATAAACTGAGGGCCAGACAAGTTTAAGAGGGGTCTAAGGTCTTAGCAAAAAACAAATTTCCTGCACAAAGGTCAATGCAATTTTCCCCTGTAGTATCATTGGTAGAGATCATATGTTCTATATTTAATGTCATCTCATACATTCGACTTCCTTCTAGAATGGCATTTTCTCAGTTATGTTCTGCAGATTCCACTTCTATTATGGTGTAAATTCTGTCCAAGTAGGATTAGGTTATCAAATGGGTTTAGGATATAGTAGCTTAAGCAGAATGAAACAGATTTCTTACTGCAAGACTTTTCAAACCTTAATGTGTTTGTGTGCATTGTGACTCATCTGTATTGTGGGAAAGATAGATGTGGACGTCTGCATATGTAAAGGGAGGGGAACATTATGCAGAAACCACTTTATAAAAGACTTTACAAATGATCTGGAGAGACATCAATGAAGTCAGCATTTTAAAAAGTGGTTACCTTGGTTAAAAGCAACTCCTCGCTTCTGTCTTTGAACATATAGAAGGAGAATATAGGCAAACAAAAGCCTACAGTGAAATCACTAGACTCTAGCTCTGTGTAATGTTAAAGGCAGACTTCTCCATCTTTCACAGAACAGCTTCTCATGGTGCTGTCATGGGAAGGACTTAGAATGCTGGTCATATAGATTCACAATGCCTTCACGGCTTCTTTCCAATTCTTCTGGACTTATCCACTCTGGATCATATCTACCAAGATTCTGACAACATCTCTGAGTCTTTTATGAGTGAACACCACTAATTCAGTTCAGTAACATGGTAGTTAAAGTTTTGCAGAGATGAAACATTTTAGACCTGCAGCAATAGAATCTCTTTAAATGTAGGCTCAGTGAAAATGAAGATTGAGTTATATTCATACTCGAACTGTCCTCTTCCTTTCAAGAATGGTTTCCTTTCATTTAAAATGGTTTCCTTTCATTTCCTTACAGGAGAAAACACGGGACCAACGCCCATGAACATGAATCCTCAGCAGACCCGATTCTCTGATTTTCTTGACTGTCTTCCAGGAACAAACGTTGACCTAGGAACTTTGGAATCTGAAGATCTGATCCCCCTCTTCAATGATGTAGAGTCTGCTTTGAACAAAAGCGAACCCTTTCTAACCTGGCTGTAGTCAGTACTGTTGTAACTGGATGCAGTGTGACCTGCCTGACATTTCCTGGGCCTCTTGGAAAATGCGAGGGAGCAGAGGACTTCAGCAGGTGAACCACTTCCTGCCTCATGACTCATGCTCCCTCCTTTCCATGCGGCTAGCTTAGTGATTGCCTGGATTTGATTGGCAGTAACAAGTTAAACACAAATATTTTCTTTACCATTTTGCAAACTTGCGTTCCTGCAACTAGATTGTACGAAATTGTTTCTGCAGAACTGATTATGCAGAGTTGCTTCTGTTTTTCTTTCTGCTGCCCCTTGACAACATTTTATGGGTGTTAGTTAAATTTATACAGGTATTGATTATAAACCATAAAAATTGACCACAGGCAGTCACTTCTGATAGGCAGCTCAGTCCAGGAAATGTACACAATATTAAACCTGTTTTGCAGTTTGAAAAACTATGCTGATGACAGTAGTACTAATACTTTTAAAAGTATTAACTTGAGCTTTAAAAATAATTGTATGGATAGTAAGATTCTGCTGTACGGACACAGTATAGTTCGGAATTCATGCTGGTTCTGATGGTTCTTATTACTCTGCATTTACATCGGCATGCACAGTCTATCCTTTGTGATTTTATTGCAGTGTCTAGGCAATTAGTCCTTTGAGCAGGAGGAACGTCGCCACTTTAGTCACCATTCGTGCATTGCAGATTTTATGAAAGAGACCAGTTTGGTACTAATTGTGAGCATTTATAAAACAAAACTTTTTAAAACTGCAAAAGTTGGATCTTTTTAAAATTGCAGCTTAGGATTTGATGTTTATTTTATAAAGCACCAATCATTTTGTAGCTGGTAACAGTGAGCAGCCAACTGTTTTTGATAAATCAGCAACAATGGTGTTTTTGTTTTTTGAAACTATTTTGAAAACATCAGGACAATATAGGTGCCAGCCTGAGGGCAGGCGCACCCAGTAATCTGTTGCTTTTTAAACTCTGGAACCTTGTGTGTTTTGCTTTCAAAATTTTAAGCATTTACGATAATTTTATCTATGATACTGTTTTGAAGGATGAAGCAGATCTCTGACTGACGTTAAAAAAAAAAAAAAACGTCTTCTGAAGGCACATGGTGGAGACATATATTTCTGAATTCTGACTTCTAAGTATAATACCCTAACTTTGTTTGCTACAGTTAGTATGAAAAGGCATGAAATATGTACTCAATACCTCTTATGTAACCAAAAACGTTTTATTATTAGCTTTTAAGGACTGAAAGAAAGCATCCTGTTCACCTGGTGTGCACTCTGACTGCATTGCCTATGAAGTCCTAACTGTTTAATATTTTGAACTGACATTATTTATAATCTATGAATTTCATATTTGTTTTGAAAGACATTAATGATTCAGGTCTCTTAGAGGAAGCTTTCTGTTCCCAAGAGGGCTTATTTGTTGGGGATCTTAAGTAAGATTTTTCTCGATCTACCAAACATACAGGGGCAGAATCCATTTGATCTTGTTGGAAAGAAGGCAAGTGAAAAGGTCAGAGATGAAGCAGTAAAGTGAAGGAATATGGTAGAAAGGATACTAATTGTGAAATGGAGATAGACTTGTTACAGTACCCCAAAAGCAAGATGAGCAGGAAGTAGGAGAGGTGCCCTGAAAGAACAAAGTAATCATTTTCTCCTACAGCCTTTATACCCAAAAACTGTTGTAGAGGAAAAGAGAGCCTTGGTGCACTTTAGTGGCAGAAAGTGGGGCAGGGCTGTGAGTGCCCTGTTCATGTGGACACTGAGCATGAGAGTGGACAAGAGCATAAACCTGCTGTTGTGTCCAGCACCGTGGAATGATTGCATTTTCCTGAAATGGCTTGTGTTCCTCTGATTCTTTCTCTACGTGCACTGAGAGAGATGGGGGTAGTTGTTTATGTTGCTACTAAAGTGAAGGGAGATCTATTTCTTTTTCTCTTTTATTAGCAAAAATTACAAAAAGAGTTGTACATTCTTTCTAAGAAAAAGAAAAAAAACAAGGGACCTAACAAAACTGAGCAGTGTTACTGTATTTTTTAAAAAATATTTTTATAGACTCATTTTCAGGTTATTAAATGTAAAAGAATATCCCTCTTTTTTTAAAAAAGGTAGTTAAAATGATGCTATGTATTATCAACTTTTAGAAGTAATTTCCTAGTAAGCTTGTGGCATTAGAAAATACTAGATTTTTTTTTATGATGAAATTAGTTGGAACATTTATTAATGAACACAATATTTTTCTAGGATAAAATATGGACCCTGATTATGTTTTTACTAATAGATAAAATCAGAAAATATTTTTTGTTTGTTTTTAAGACCATCAATTTTGGCCTTTATTAGAGAACACTAAAGTTTGAAATATAGAGTAAGAATGATTTTTTAAAAGATTTTTCCTGATAGTGTGTTATAAACCCCTCCAGAATTCATAATAAGGTGCTACTTATACTTTCTTATTATAAAAAAACTGCCAGGATATCTGGTCTGTTTAGCCCTAAATCAGTAAACAAACTATGCCATTTCATCTAATAACCTTGCCATGGTAAAGGCATATTCAAAATTGAAATTGAAAAATAATTTCAGAGATATTTCTTTCAAGGTAATACTTTTCTAATAGAATACATTTTCTTGAAGTAAATACATTGTCAAAACCTTTTGCAATTCTGCTAATTGTTATGATTCATCATAGAATTTAAGACGTGAAATGACATTTCTTTCACTGATTATACAATATATGAGAAGCATGTAAAACAGTAAAAAAATTTTAGTGTACTGGGGGTGCTATCAACCCAAGTGGCAGTAAAGTCCTCTGCAGAAGAAGGTGATTGGAGTGAAAGAAGTGTTGCTAATTACAAGTTGTGTTCTCATGACATAATTAGAAAGTCATTTTTGAAAGAGCAACTTTTATATAAAAAAATTAAGCTGTTTAAAAAAAAGGAAATTGTAGATTAATTGGGAAAATGGCTATTGACAGAGACTATTTCCCTAATACATTACATCACTTATATGCTAGTTCTTTAACTTTTAAAAAAATTATTTTCCACATTTTGTAATATGACATATGTGTGTTTATTTTTAACTTAGAATGCTATGCGTACAGAAAGTATGCAGCCAAATCAATCAGGTAAAACCATGTTACCTAGAGTTTGGTACTGGTTTTGACTTGTCTGATTCTGTATAAGAAAAATAAATACAATTGAATTTCCACTTGGAGGCTTTGCCTTTTCTTTATTTGTATGTGTTCCTTTACTGATGTCTTTTGAGTGGTGCTGAAGAGAAGCTTATGTAACCCTCCTGACAGACAATGAAAGAAAGAAAATTTAGTAGGCAAACTTGGTTTTGGCTCAAATGCCTGGTCTTCACTATTTTAAGTATCCACAGCATTCTGGTTTTCACTTTATTTGAAGTATCCCACTGAGGTTTCTTGGGGTGTGTGTGTATGTGTGTGTGTGTGTGTGTACACGCATGCTTGTGAGCACTTACCTGTGTATACATATATACATATATGTGCTTGTAATTTTTAAGATCATACTGTCCTTTGAATACCCTCACAGAAAACAGCAGAGTCCTAGGATTCAAGTATTTCTAGTCTTATTAACAATATGGTCTGGCTTCTTGCTGTCAAAACTGAAAACAGCACATCATCCATTCTTAGTGTAGGCTTGTGATAGTTTGTTTTCTCTGTCCGTTGAGTACTTCGAGGCTCACCGCCAGGATACCTTTGTCCATCAGAGACAGACATGTTAGGTGAGAGCAAAGGGGTGTTTTGAAGTAGAAGCATTGAGCTAAACAACAGAAAGATACTGGTGGAAGTGCTCATCAACATTCCAATGTTTAAGCTTCATATATCTCAAAAATGATCAAGTTTAAGTAATATGTTATAAATTACAACACATATAAAGTAAAAAGTGAAAATTCTCTATTCTTAATTCTTGGATTTTTAAAATTATATATGTTAGATTTTCTCCCTAGGTTATATTCTGTGCAAAAGAAAGGCAATTATGTGTGCTGTTTTGGGGAGGGGGGGAAGCTTTTTTTCTCTCTCTTAACAGTAATATTTCTAACACGTAGTGAGTATAAACTTTCTGCCAAGCATTATGCAAACCTTGATACATATTATCTAATTTCAATTTCCCAATGGTGTATTTTAATTTTTTTTTATTAATATAACATTGGTTTATAGCTCTCTATATATGATTCACACCTCCTGGGATATATTTTACCACAGTACACTCATTGTCAAGGCACCCATATTCCTCCAGAACAGTCCATCAAGCAACATCCCTCCTTTGCTCTATTTTTATTCTGATAGCACACTGCTTTAATTCCTGTAGCTTTGAAATATAGTTTAAAATCTGGGAGTGTGATACCTCTGTTCCTCCCCCTTTTCTGTCATGACTGCTTTGACTATTTGAGGTCTTTTGTAATTCCATAACATTCAGTAATGTTCTATTTCTTTGAAGAATTTAATTGAAAACTTGATAGAAATTGCATTGAATCTGTATACAACTTTAGTAAAGATAGCCATTTTAACAATGTTAATTCTACTCCATGAGCAGGAAATATCTATTTTTTGTGTGTTTTCTATTTCTTTTAGCAATGCCTTAGATTTTTTATTCTGAAGACTTTTACCTCCTTTGCTGTTTTGTTCTTTGGCTTTTTGTTCTTCTTGTTGCCATTATAAATGGCATTATTTTCTTGATATTTTTCTCTTCCAGTTTGTTGTTTGTATATAGGAATGCAACCAACTTCATAAATTGATTTTGTAGTCTACCGTATTACTATACTGATTATTGTTTCTAGTAGTTTTTAAGTGTTGTCTCTAGAGTTTTCTTATCATGCCATTGGCAAATAATGATAATTTTACTTCTTCTTTCTCATCTGAATTCTTTTTATGTATTTCTTCCGTAGTTATTCTTGCTAGGATTTCCAATATCATGTAAAAGAATAGCGGTTAATGGGGAAATTCTTGTCTTGTACTTGATATTAGAGAAAAAGTTTTCAGTTTTTCACTATTCAGTATAATGTTAGCTGTGGATTTTTCATGTATGGCCTTTATTATGTTGAGGCATGTTCCATCCCCATTTTTTGGACACTATCACAAATGGGTATTGAATTTTCTCAAATGTTTTCTCTACATCTGTGATAGGACCATATGATTTTTTAATGTTTCCTTTTGCTCATGTGGTGAATTACATTGATCAACTTGTGAATTTTGAACCATCATTGCATCTCGAATAAATCCCTCTGTGATGATGTATTGTCCTTAAATGTATTGTGGAATTCAACCTGCTAAGATTTTATTAAGTATTTTTGCCCTGTTCATTATAGGTATTGGCCTATCATTCTCTCTTTGTTCCCTCCTACCCTCCCTTCCTTTTTCCTTCCTACCTTCCTTCCTTCCATCCTTTCCTCCAGGCCATAGCATCCCCACATTTCTCTCTACCTAACTCTTTTTTTAAAGATTTATTTATTTATGCATTGAAGAACTGGGGTACATGCCAGAGGTGTAAGGGGGTGAGAGGATTCACCAAAGACAGAGTGGGGAATAGAACAGGCAGACGGACTGAAATACACAGCTGAGGGGAGTGGTGGGTGAGACAGAAGAGGTTTCCTGCACCATGTGTTTAGCTCCCTGGCCAGGGATCAAACTTGTGCTGCAGTGGCTGCTTCATAGCTTCATAGGTTGCATCTTAATTCCTTGCGCCACCAGGGAGGTTCTACCTACCTCTTGATGCATGAAATGTTATTTTTCTCTCTACTTTTGTGTCACAGTCTATGTTGATCACCAATGTCCACAGAGTGCATCCATTTTGACCCAACCCATGCATCTCCCTAGATATAGCAACCTTCTAATTAACTGCTAGATCATCCTGTCAGGAATGAAGCAAAAAACTCTGATGCCATTTTAGTTTATCCTCCATAACCACTATTTATAAGTTCTTCTTTGGGGCACTGATTTTTAAAATTATGATTAAATATTGTGCGGCCATCAAAACAATACTTCCATTGAGAACACATATGAAAATGTCATAGGTATTCGGTTAACAAGATGTTAGGTTAAAAAGATACCTTACTGTCTAGCAGAGATATACCCTGTATTAAAATGAATATAGGATCAGGATTAGACAAATTATATCTCACTGGAGTGAGATGGGCCTATCAGTTCTGACCTTAACAAAGCATGAATTTATTCTAGGAATGCTCCAGAAAGTCTGGCACATTCAGAACCTTAAAGCAGAACTCTCTAGAACTTTATCTAGAATGCCCCAAATTTTGAGATTTACCAAAAACAAATTTTGATTATCCATAGCTTCTAAAGAATTCTGAAAAACTGTCAAAGGCTTCAGATGTTGTTCACAGTAATCTGCTCACACACATTTAACACTGAATTCCAAAAGGCTCATAGACTGATGAAAGTCCTTCCATTGACCTTAGACTTGGCAATCATTTTCTATAGGCTATCCTTTAAAACAGAGCCCTTGTAATTGTAAGCTGATTAAGCCATGGACTGTACCTATCTGAATATATGCATTATGTTTAGCAATATTAATTTTTAAGGGTACAGAGTTTACCAGACTTTGTATTTCTTAAATGGATTCTTCAGCTTTTAAGTCACGTGGTCATACTACTAGTTGCACAAGGTGATTATGCCTAATATGTTTGCAATTTGAGGATCAGAAGTACAGTTAAAAATTGTCCAGGTTTGGGCCTCTCCGGTGGTGCAACAGGTTGAGCAGCATGCTGTAAAGTTGTCCTCAGCCTTGGTAGTGCAAGTTCGATCCTGGCCAGCTGGCGAGAATCCCACATGGTGTGGCAGACCTCCCCTATAGCTCCCGCTGCGCCCCTCAGCAGCATATTTCTGTCTGCCTATTCTGCTCCCTGCTCTGTCTGGTAAATCGTCCCACCCTCCCATACCTCTGGCCTGTAATACAGCTCTTGTATAAAAATAAATAAATCTTAAAAAAAAGTTGTCTAGGTTTACATGGAATAGATGGTTTCCCAAGACTTGGGACTTACAGTGTTAAAAACTGGGAACGTTCCAGAAAAATAGGTAAAATTTGGGAAGCATGCATTGTGTTCACTTTGGCAGAATAAGCAATATAGCTTGTGAGATCCAGTGCAGAATTTACTAAGGTGTTAAACCATTACACTAAATGTGGAGTTCTTGTGAGAGTGGGAAATATGCACCTGAATGGGAAATATGTCCATAAAGTAAGCCCTGCTCATTACAAGCCTACAACTCAAAAGATTTTATGTGCTAGTGTATTTCTCTGTAAGAATAAGAAAATATAAGCCAACATAAAAAGCTTCACAAAAAATATACTTTCAAGAATTAAATGGAAGAATTATTAACATTTTCTCCTAAAACAGCCTCTCACAAATCTTCTAGATAGTCAGCTATGTTTTCATTTGTTGAAGAGATTTAAGTGGGTCTGAGGACCCTGGCCCTAAGTCAGAATTGGTTTTTCCTGAGGTTGCTAAAGAAAATAGAACTCTTAGTAATACGGGGCAAGGGGCACAAAAACCAGCCACAGACACTGCCCAAATAGTTTATCAGTCACTGTCTGAGTTCTTCATCCACACACACAAATGCATAGTCTCAGAGAACAACAATGTAATTTATTTAACAAGCCAGGGAAAAACAAATAGTTACTGAGGCCAAAAATGGCAATTTTCCTCACCCGAAGCAGTGTCCAGTGTTTTTAAGACCTAAACAAAAAGCAGCTAAGAGGGCACCTTTCCACCACAGAGGACACAGAGCAGAGCTCCTCTCCTGAGCAATAGGCCATGTGCCCAGGATGACATTTTCTTGCCTCGGCTGACCTGCAGCATGCAGCAGCCAGACTATAGGCCAGGTTCCAAATTACGAATTACGAAGACAACAGAAGACACAACAGGAGAAGCTCCCAGAGCTGCCAGTATGTCCCTGACAGCACCAGACTAGCGACACTCAAGACAGCAGCTGCAATGGCTGAACAAGCCAACAAAGGGCCACACTCCAGCAACTCAGCAAGGCAGCTGGCTCTGGGTCTTTGCCTGCTCTGCCAGGCTGTAACAGCAGCAAAAACCAGGAACAGTTTCAGTTAGTAGGTAATTGCAAAGCCAACCTCTCTGAGGTTGGCTGCTGGAAGCCTCTACCTTCCCAGGCCCACAAGCCTTCTGGAAGATCGGTGCAGTGGGGGCCAAAATTGCTGGCCCCAAATTCAATGAA